TTATTTTATTTTCGCTTTAAGGAAAAATAGCTTCAAACCACAAAATTTATGTTGTTCATACTAGACGATACCTTTTTGAAGATTAATTATTTTTTTAGCATTTTCGATTCTTCAAATTATTAATCAAAGTTTCTTTCTTTTAATGATTCACAAAATTCATAGACAACAGAATTATATGCAATATAAATCAATGAGGAATTTCGTGATGATGATATGAAATTTAGATTGACATTAATTATAAATAAATTGATAATATGTAACAGAATACATTAAAATTTACCATAAACCATGGTCTGATTATAACTCAAAAAATGTTTAATTTAGTTTACAACAAATTACTTCATAGTAAACTATATTAAATCTACATTTAATACAAGTAAATCTTGTTTATTTTAAAACCAATTAAAGGGGACTTTGAAGCAGTTAAAGTACGGTAAGTTCGAGTTTTCATTAAACCAAGTATTCTTCGCGATTTTTTTTACAACCTCCCAACAGGACTGAAGATACCACACTTTGAGAAAAACTTCCTTGATTGTTGAACTTTAAGTCTATATTAATTAAGTAATGGTTTGTTACAGAGTAAGTTGAGATTCATACCTAATTGAGTTAAAAGATGTAAATTGTATTTTCACTTTAAGAAAAAATTGCTTCAACAACGAAATTGATGTTTTTCATAGTAAAAGATACCTTTTTGAAGTTTAATTAGTTTTTTTTTACATTTTCGATCGTTCAAATTATTATTCAAAGTTTCTTTCATTTAATGATTCTTAAAAGTCATTAACTATAAAATTATATTCGATATCAATCGATGGGAAATTTCATGATAATGATATGAAGATTAGATAGAAATTAATTTCATATAATTGATAATATGTGATAGAAGACATTAAAACTTATACAAAGTCGATGAATTTACCCTTGATGAAATTAAAACATTGTATACTTAGGTTAACTATTTTTGACATAGGGTCAGATCATTTTGAATATTTTATTACATCGATATGATCGAAATAAAAAATATGTACTTAAAACCAGGGGTGCCCAAAAGGGAGTTTCATGGTGCAAATTGCCCCATTAAAATTTTTGAGGGGGCATATTTTGACAGGGTTTTCAATTTTTGAGGAGAGCACATTTCGACGGGATTGGATTTTTGAATTGAAAAATTTTAACCAAGGGGCAAAGGAAAAAAGATGGACGAAAACATAGTAAGTATAATTGAATATATTGTGGGCGGGGTGGCCGAATGGGCTAAAGCGTGTGCACAGCATCGCCGTTGCCCGGCAACCTGATATATGACTGAAATGATATTAAAAAAAGTCACGAGTTCGCGTCCCGGTGCCGGAGGAGTCTTTTAAATCCGCGCCCACAACCTCCGGCCCGGGAAACCCCCGTATAGTGTTAACGGTGAGGAAGGGGAGACACAGAAAAAAAAAAGTATAATTGAATATGGTCTAAAAGGAGCTTAAACCCCTCACATGTGTTATATTTTGTGATGAATTTTTTGCAGTAAATATTTTTTGTTTCTTTATATGTTGTTTAATTTATATTTATATTGTTTGTGAAAAACTAAATTTAAATTTTGACGGTATTATTAATATATTTAATATTTATAATATTAATATGCATATTATGTAACTGAAGATTTCCAAAAACAATGCTATACATAAAAATAATAACATTTAATTATCAAACTATTCTTCAAAAACCATAAGGTTCTTTATCAATATATATCCGTACATATATTATTACAGTAAGGCTCGAAATCGGTTTTGTACCAAATATAAGCACCTGTCATGCTCAAATACCATGTACGGGGTACCGTTGGATTCAGAATTTCACGGGGGGTTAGCGAATCGTATTCTCCGCTTTTGTTTTTCTTTCTAAAATAAATAAACATTTTGCTAAGCTTCAATACTGGAACGGTGGTAGGTCTGCAGATCTATGAGGGACAAATTAGACCTTGAAGATTTTGATGCGTACAGCAAGACCCGGATAGTTCCTCCGGAACTATCGGATCCTGCGTTTTTAAGGCCAAAAAAATACTATTTTCGAGATAACGCAAGGCATGGGGTTCGCATCCACACAACCTGACGTTAATTGTAGTACTGTCATTGGATACATGTCTCATTTCGTCGACTTGAGGTCTCTATGATCGAGAGAGGAGGAGTTTATATTATTTATCGATGGTGTTTTTTATAGGCAAGCCATATCATCGGTAATTCTTTATCGAATTTTTCGCACGGGCCTGCTAGTTCTATAAATATTTTATAAACCATTAATAACTGTTCAAATATTTGGGCAATTGTCATATCAGAAGTTATGCCAAGTTTTATACAGTTAGTTATATTAAGGTTTTATTCAAATGAAATAAATATATAATTTTTGTGAAAATATTGTGGTATTGCTTTAATAACATTGAAATAATAATGTAAAATTATAAACATTTGTACCAAAAAAAACAAAAACAAAAAAACAAGCAGGAAGCAGTAGGTAAAATAACTTATTAGATGCTGAATAAGAAAGTGTATACCAATATTTATTACTAGGTTCTTCATAACCATCTTCATAGGCTATTGGAATGGAATCAATTGGAACTGACCAGCAATTCTGAAACCTTAGCTTCACTTTCGTTTCACATTCGAAAATAGAAAGTCGTCCGTGTAGTCATTTTCAGAACCAGTCACACTTACACATTATGGCATCATCGGAATTCGCAACTCTACTGATATGATATCAAGATGAATACTTTGTTTTTAATGAAATGCAAAAAAAAGTTCAATATTACATTTTTTATTTTCTGGTTCTTTCATATGTTTTTACCGGTAATATTTTTTCCACTAGCTAAAACTTTTGTTTCATTAATATTCACCACTTTTTTTATTTTTGTTTATTTATTTCTGGTTTTATTTATTACTAATTTATATTACTTAAAAAGAGAATACCAAGTACAAAAAAAAATAAATAAAATAATATCTGAAGCAATGGCATTGTTAATAAGTTAGATTTTTCTACTCAAGCAAGAACGTTTAAGGCATTGAGAACAATTCGTAAAGTGGCTAACAAAGACAAAATATTTGGGAATCAGAAAAATAAAATTATTTGTGTTTGAGCATCCCGTATGATGAATAGATTATCATCTATCTTAGCAATTATGATTGATAAGTTAAAATACGTGAATCTTCTGTGCGTTCATAGTTTAAGCTCGTTTATAATTAGAAATATAAATTAAAAAAATAACTTTACTATGGGACAATGTCTCTTAAGAATAATAAAATGATACAGAAGAAAAAAAAGACTTACTTCTTTTCAGAACTATTACATAAAATGATAAAACTTTTGTATTTATATGCTTAAATAGTATATGCAAAATCAAACAATGAAACTATTTACAAATATTTAGAACTACATAAAATACTAATGAAATGAAACAAAATAATTGCCACTTAGCTTTAAAATAATAATAATAATAATAAATAAATAAAAAAGATAGGAAGAAAACAATAAATGAAAAATATATTCCTCTAAGGGGTGAGCACCAATTAAAAATAGATATAGTAAAAGATAAAGAAATAAAGATTTATGGATTCCTTCTTATGCTAGTAAAAATTAATAGTCCGTGGTACAGACCCCTTTTTTATCGAATTATTAACATCCGGCTGAAACTTCGTAAATAGCTCCTTCTCATCGTAACCTACAAATATTTTATTTACAATTCTCAGAATTGGGGCGTTTTCGATCTAGAGATCGTCAAACTTTGTCTATTTAATTAGTTACTAAAAACTCGTAAATACCCATTTGCTTTCTAATTGAATCGTAAGACAACTTGAGCAACAGACAAGAAAAGCTGTGGCCTTCAAAAATATTGAGCCGTTTGTCCTATATAACCTCGTTATTTTGAAAATTTGGGAGTGTAGGTAACGCCAAACGGCTGAATATTTTTTAAGGCAATTTTTTTTCTCGATTTTGTAATCAAATTATCTTACGATCCAAGTAGAAAGCAAATGGATATTTACGAGTTTTTAGTAACTAATTAAATAGATAAAGTTTGCCGACCTCTAGATCGAAAACGCCCCTATTCCGAGAATCGTAAATAAAATATTTGTAGGTTACGATGAGAAGAAGCTATTTACGAAGTTTCAGCCGGATGTTAATAATTCGATGAACAGCGGCCTGTACCACGGACTGTTACATTTCTTTAAAAAAAGACCCGTTTTATGAAATTAATTTATTTTCATACTATTTTTTTTAGTACTTAGTACTTTTGAAAAAAAAATAATTTCATCATCGGTTACGTCTGATGTTATACATGGTAATCGATACTTATCTCAATTTCTATAAAAATCAATTAGGGTTAACTGGAAATTAGCGACTCATTTCAATGATATGCTTATCGTCATTTTATGTTTATTGCACTTCTATAAAGCAATATTATAGCATCAACTTAGAGTAATCACGGACTATAAAAATATATAAAGCAGTAATAAGAAAATGAATAAATGTTTAAAATTAAATTTATTTTAACTTTTTATGATATCTTATTTAGTATTCCATTATAACTTTATTTTTAAAGTTTAAAAGCAAAAATTCTTGTAGAGCAGAACCGACATGGCATGATAATATAAATATATACAAGTTTCTATGTACAAGTAGTTATATACAAGCTCATCAGAAGCGGAAAAAAATATGAAGTCAAGTTCGGAACAGGTGTAGTAACTTTCTAGATAAACTATTTTCATAAAAAATAATAATAATAACAAAATTAATATTATTGTTTTAAAATATTTGTTCACGTGTATTTTGAAACGTTTCCATCCACATATACATTTTTTTTTAATCAAGCATAACAAATACCCATCACACTTTATATATATTAAGTTATGAAATTTATAATGGCCTAATTATCCCCGGCGCTGATACACAATACCCCGCCATTAGGAGGAAAGAGACAGGCAGAGCGGGATTATGTTCTGGGTATCGCGTGTTTCGATGCAGGACACGCGATGGGATCAAATAAGGGAAGATATTTCTCCACTAATAATGGCTGTTTTATATTTCAGCAGAAGGAATCTTTTAGAATGGAGCAGTCCCCCAGGATGTTCTGCGTCGTCTTTGCGATGAGCCTAGTCTTGGCTTCGGGTCAGGATGCGGGCAGCACGCTAGGAGACTTCGTCAAGTAAGTGCAAGTCTGGAATGAATTGTGGAAATGGCTAGCTATTAATCTAATGGTTCAAAAAAAACTCTAGTCACTAATGGGTCACAGCAGGACAACGTCCAATATCAGAACCTCAGTTATCCGAAATGGCTATATGAAAAACAAAATCAAATTGCATTGTTGAAAATCAATCTATTATTCACGGATTTATTTTATCTGTAATTTAATGATTTATTCAACACTTTTTTGCCAAAATTTTGTGTTTACTCGTCTTTTAAGTGTTTTTATTATAGTTCTATATTTTTTAAGAAGTTTTAATTCTGAGGAATAGAGCTGATTTGATTTTGTATATTAAGTAACAAGTTAAGCAAATTCGTATCTACTATAAATTATTTTATACTTTTAACCAAATTTACGAATTTAACCAAATTCGTATCTACTATAAATTATTTTATACTTGGTTTACACAACACCTACTAGAAAAATATTATTTTGTCTAATTTTTTTTAATTGTTATCGCCTCTATCCTAGAGGGTCATTTTTTTATACTCTATGGTAATATTGGGTTTCTATTAAGTATCGGAATGAAGTGTTGACTCCATCTTCGATGTCTCCTAATATCTCCTTCATTGCTATTGGTAGTTTCAGTTTTTGTCGAATGTTGTTGAACTCGTGGCACTCCACTAACAGATGTTTTACTGACTGCGGTTTACTGTCACACTTTGTGTAAGTAGGTACTTCTAGTCTTCTGGAAAGGTAACCGTGAGTAAACAGGCAGTGACCAATTCGTATTCGGCACAATATCGTTTCCTCTCTTCTGGATTTTCTTTTTCTGGTAGCCAATTTGTTGCACTCTGTTTTTATTTCTAATAGTTTAGACTGTTTGGTTTTCCATTTGTTTTCCCAATCCTCCTACAACTTCTTCTTTGTTTCGTGTACCCATTCTTCTACTGCGCTAAAGTTTATTGAAATCATATTTGGTACCTCACGCTTGGTACCTTACGCTTTCTTGCTAAATTAGCTGCTTGGTCTGCTCTTTCATTGGATGAGATGCCAGACTATGAGATGGAACCCAGACAAATACGACACTGACTTCAATATCTCCCTTATTAGGGAGTCGCTTGGCCATGGGTTAATTATGTTGTCATGACACTTTTAGAATTTGATGCTTTCATCCATTTATTGTCATTGGAATTTGATATCCAATGGAGGACCTCCATGATCGCAGTAGCTTTTCCAGTAAATATGGAGCTCTCTCCTGGTAAGCTAAACAGAAGCTGGTACTGGTTTCATTGGTATATACTGTACAGCCAACACTATAGTACATTTTGGAGGCATCGGTATATATGACATTAAAACCTTTGTATTTCTCCAGTAATTCAAAAAAAGTAGTTTTGGATTTTATTTTTAAATTGTGATTTTAGCGACAAATCTGTTCGTTCCTGTTTCGTCGAATTTCGCAATAATTTTCAAATATTTCGATAGTTTGGAAAGACTTTGTCTAAAGAGGCGGTAGTTTATTTTGCCTCGTACTTATTTTTTTCAACTTTATTTTTTGTTTAACGAACTTGGACCAACCAAACTTTGAATGTCAGAACTATCCGTCACTATCCGTTATTCCATTTTTCATTACTTATTAACGTCATGTTTTTAAATAAGAAAGTAACAATTATTTAAGCGTCGAATAACAACTCCAATAAGCTGGATCAATCCATGTAGAAGTTTGAGGAGACTTATTGCTAGTACCTTAAATCAAAAGAGATATAAGAACGTATGAAGTTCCTCATTCACGCTGAAAAGAATTCCTAAATCATATTTTTCTTGACAATATTGAAAATATAGTGGCATGGATCGCATATGACTTACAACTGAATTTAATGGAAATTTTTGGGCCCATTTCTAAGAAATTGTGATTCTTAAAATCTATTAAGAAAAACAACGGAATTTAAATTTATTTACAACACTAATAGTAATTAATTAAATAACAGATTTCATCAAGTATTAAAATAAAAAATAGAGCTTTCAGAAGCTCTATTAAATGTAATTTTAAAGTCACTTTAAATTTGATCTTATTTTAAATTTAACTATCAGTGACAAACATTATACGTATTGTTGAAAACTCTCGAAATGATTGCGTCAAAATATTATTTCTAGGCAATATCAATATTTTTTAACAAAAATTACTCAACTGAGTTTTTTTTTACAAGTATTTATTTCAAATTCTGAAACTCAGCCAAACGATAATGAAATTGGAAATCCTATTTATCAATTATTCTACCTTAAAAAAATGCCGATCGGGGCATAAGAAAATACTTAGCCTGAGGTTATATTTAATTGAGTGATTATGAAATCACAGGCCAAAGTGCTTCAGTTTCGTTAATTCAACAGTGTTAGTTCCTAATAACACTAAAGATAAATACTATACCTACTAAATTTAGGCTAATGGATGTAAATTTCATAATTACAAAAACCATAACGTTTCCAGTAAAAATTAACGAACCATGGCTCAGTGTTTGCAATATCAAACAATGGGTTTTCCCATTTCCTGCCGAAATAATGGGCTACTTTCGAAACAATCGTGTCTGGAGGAAGAGAAGATGAGGTCAGATGTCTTTACAGCGAAGATATTGCCTACTTACTCAATGCGGACAGTTTATTGCTGGAATAAGCAGTTAAAAGTCACAAACAAATATTAAAGAATAAAAAAACCATCTCACTGGAAACATTTATACAGTGTTGAAAATAACACATACGGATTCTCAGCTTTTATAAAATCGTTTTTATTATATTTTGTTTTATTATATTTGGCTTTTTAAATTATAAAACTTAACTGGAGGGAGATCCATATTTACTGGAGAAGCTACTGCGATCATGAAGACCCTCCATTGGATATCAAATTCCAATGAAAATCAATGGATGATAGCATCAGACTCCAAAAGCGTCATGGCAGCAATAGGTAACTCTTGGCTAAGCAATTCAATAATAAGAGATATATTGAGAGTGATATTTGTCTGGGTTCCATCTCATAGTGGTATCTCAGGCAATGAAAGAGCAGACCAAGTAGCTGACTTAGCCTGGAAGGGAGAGGTTTCAACCATAATTTTAATAACCTGTACCACAGTAGAAGACTAGGTACACGCAACAAAAAAGTTGTAGGAAAATTGGGTAAATAGATGGAAAACTAAACAGTTAAAACTATTAGAAATAAAAACAGACTGCAACAAGTGGGCTACTAGCACCAGAATATTCAGAAGAAAAGAAACCATATTGTGTAGAATACGAATTGGTCACTGCCTGTTTACTCACGGGTACCTTCTCAGAGGAGCGCAATTCGATAAACCGCAGTCAGTAAAACATCTGTTAGTAGAGTGACACGAGTTCAAAAACATTCGGCAAAAATTGAAACTTCCAATAGCAATGAAAGAGATATTAAGAGACAACGATGATGGAATCACCAAATATTACAATTGAGTATAGAAAACTACCTGCCAATGAACCTCTAGGGTAGAAGCGACTACAAATAAAAAAATTTAGAGCCATAAAAATAAGTGTTTAAAATCTGGATTAAGGTTGCTGTCATTTGAGCTTGATAGATCATAATAATAAAGATAATGTAAAAATTTTATATAATTATTTTTTTTTTATTGTTTAGCCAGCTGACATCATTGATATCGCAGAACGGAGGCATCGGAAGCTTGGTTAACGCAATCCGCCCACCCGGACAATACCCTGGACAAGTTCTGTCTGGTGGAGACAACGGGTATGGCCTTTATCCTTCGAAACCTCACAACCCTTCCCAGTACCCCGAGCAGTACCCGGAATACGCTCCGCAGTACCCCAGTCAATATCCTGGATATCCACCGGAGAGGCCGAGCCCGTATCCTCCCAGCTATCCAAGCGAGTACCCAGAGGACTACCGCCCAGGCAGACCGCCTTACCCGCAGAACTACGCTCCAGGGTACAACCCTTACAGACCACAACCCGGCTACCCGCAGCAGAGCTTCATGGCAGCTCTCGACTCAATCACCAGGCACGACGAATTGAGGTGTGTGCCGAGGCTGCTCTGCGAAGTTACATCAGGAGGCAAACCTGGGTACCCGTCCTCGAACTCTAACCAGCAGCAGACTGTCAAAGAAACCATAACAACGTAGGTGATTTATTTCATTATTTATAAATAATTTTTTTTAATTCATAATTTTTTACAGAAGAGATTGGAAATTACATATGTGTAAGTATTGAGTATTGAACCGTTCTATTCCTTCCAAAATCGCTTAAGATTCACATGGCGCTGCGAAACGATAAGAAAATATATATTTATTTCTATATAAAAAAAAAATATATAGCTACAATGATCTTTACTTTTATTCCGATATGTTAAATATTATTATAATATCGAGCACTAAATATTTTATAGCATATGTTAGGATACGATTGGAAAATGCCAAAAGCAAAACTTCTTTGTTTCAAAAATGCCAAAAGTCTTGAACATTGGTACTTGATACTTAAAGACAAATAACGTATACAGAATGGAGGAAGGGGTGAAGGGAGTATGCTTCCCAAAATCATCAAGCCCAAACACTTGGGGACGTTTTTATAACATAATTAAACCTCTTTAAATATCTAACTACGACGAAGGGTAAAGGTAATTTGATGGGATTCATTGGAATTTATTTTAATTCTCTAGTTTTAATATCATTCTTTAAGGTTTCTGATGTGGGATTGAAGAGTTTGGGATGCTGGGTCGTTGTGAACTGATAGGACACATGTGTCATCAGCATAGATTGTAATAACGGTGTTTGGATGGGTTGGGATGTCAGCTGTATAGACTTTGTAAAGAATCGAACTTACCTTGAGGAACTCCAGCGGAATGGGAATAATACTTTTTAAGCTTAGAAATTGGGATAATGTAAGTAGAAAACAAATTATTTTGGTAAAGTATCAACATTCGTAACAGGTTGCTGAAAATTTTCAAATCCACAAGAGTTTGTTAACATTAAATATTTCTCTGCATCATGATATTTTAATTTATGTACTCTTAAAAAATAAAAAAAATCAACAGATTTGCTATATAGCCACTACAGCGCAGTTGCAAATATCATAAATGAAGAAATATTTATGAAAGTTCAGAATAATTTGTGACAACTATTGAAATTGTTGTAAAATTATGTTCCAACTATTGAAATAGTTAAACAATTTTATACTTAATCTTTCCTCCTCCCAAAATTTTACTGGCGTCTCTGCATGTATATATGCATCACGGTGGATGTGGAGAAATGCGCACGTAAAAGTATTTTCTACTGATTATTCCCTCGTTAATATACATTTTCTACTTCAAATTATTATATTTTTTGTCTATATGTCTTATTTTTTTAGCCTAAGATTCATCCACATATTAAAAATGGGAAAAAAGAATGAAAATACGCCCGTAAAACATATAAATACCTAGAAAATTTTAAATATAGTTAGGAATATCAAAAATTAAAAAAGGTTCTTATTAACAAGTTTTTAACTAACAAGAATTTTTATACTTAGAACTGGACATAACATGGTTAACTCACACCTCTACAAAAAATTTAAAATTGGTCCAACTCTTTTATGTGAATGTGGAAGGGGTGAGTAAACAGCCGAACACATTCTTCAGACATGTATCCTAATGGAGGAACAACGGAAGCAGAGATGGCCTAAGTTAAATAAAAAGTTATCCTGAAGTCAAACGCTTACTTGTTTAGGTTCGGTGGAATTGCTGCTTGATTCAGATCCATATAATAAGAAATGTTGCTCTCATGCCCTACTCTTTTTCACTAGCTACTTATAATACTCAACAAATGAGAACTGTATTATTAACTGATTTGTAAGAAACCAGTCGTTATATATTATTTCAAATGAGTATTTAAAGGGATTATAAGCTAATGGGAGACCACATATATATATATATATATATATATATATATATATATATATATATATATATATATATATATATATATATTATTCTGTCGAGCAGACACGTGGAGAGGTGAGACCTGAGAAGACACGCTCCATGGAACGAAAACTACCCAACTGGGAGTCGTACACAGTTGATTTACCCTCACACCTTATAAATTAATTGTCAGCTCAGCGTCTGGATCCGATGGAATTCTGCAGGAGTCGTAAATTTCGGCTTTTATTGCTTTCCTTTCAGGCCTTATATCTATTTCAGTACCGATTAATTTTGTATTGCCTAACGTATAGGAAATAAATGTTTTCAGGAAGAAAACAGTTTCAACAATCAGCTAAATCGGGAAAGTAATTAAATAAAAAATAATCGTAACGATTGCATTATAAGATGTGCCATTGCCTATAAGTTGAAGGAGATTGGAAAAAAAAATTATTTTCAAACTTGAGTAATGAGCCATATTCTAATAACAGAAGACTGCCTATTCTCATGCACGCCCTACATGTTATTATACATCAATAGTTATGTTTTAATATTAATTAACACGTCGGAGACACAATAAAATAAAAATAATTATAAAATAAATGAAATTAGTAACTGAAAAATTTGGGACTACAATAACAGAAAACAAATTGCGATATCTCAAATAAATAGTACAATCATTTGATGATGAATGATATAAAATAAATGTATAATGTCAAAAGATAAGGAAGTATCTGATTGTTTTTGGGACAGGAATTTTTTTTATTTTATTTTTTATTTATGATATTTACAACTATATTACAAATAAAAATACTTCAGTAAATTTGAACACAACAATATAGTAACATGAAACCCCTTGGTGAGAAACTACCCACTAGTAGCACTCTAAAAATGTAATTACAAAAGGAGATCTCGAGGTCTCTTCTTTCCAGACGCCTCGGAGGGTTACATGAAATTAAATTAAGCATTTCTCAAATATAAGGAACAGCCAAAACGACCCACATACGGAAACTACAGACCATTCTGTCAAGAACTTTTAGGACTACAACTCCATGGTGCTTCACAAACATTACTTTACATAAAGATTTAAACATGCCAACAGTTAACGACCATATACGGACACACTACAAACAATTTCACAATAACTTACTTGGACATTCTAACACACTATTACAATTGAAGATTAAGAAAAGATTAAGTATAAAATTGTTTAACTATTTCAATAGTTGGAACATAATTTTACAACAATTTCAATAGTTGTCACAAATTATTCTGAACTTTCATAACTATTTCTTCATGTATGATATTTGCAACTGCGCTGTAGTGGCTATATAGCAAATCTGTTGATTTTTTTTATTTTTTAACAGTACATAAATTAAAAATATCATAATGCAGAGAAATATTTAATGTTAACAAACTCTTGTGGATTTAAAAATTTTCAGCAGCTTGTTACGAATGTTGATACTTTACCAAAATAATTTGTTTTCTACTTACATTATCCCAATTTCTTAGCTTAAAATGTATTATTCCCAGTACGCTGGAGTTTCTCAAGGTAAGTTCGATTCTTTACAAAGTCTATACAGCTGACATCCCAACCCATCCAAACACCGTTATTACAACCTATGCCGATGATACATGTGTCCTATCAGTTCACAACGACCCAGCATCCCAAACTACAGACCATTCTGTCAAGAACTTTTAGGACTACAACTCCATGGTGCTTCACAAACATTACTTTACATAAAGATTTAAACATGCTAACAGTTAACGACCATATACGGACACACTACAAACAATTTCACAATAACTTACTTGGACATTCTAACACACTGTTACAATACATGATTTCGATTATCATGCCCGAAAACACGCTTCGGAGGCTCAAAAGAAGCAGGATGAGGGATTTCCTCGATATCCCGATCGATAAAACACTGAATTCAAGCCAAGAAAGGATGCCACTGGGCACTCCTTTTCCTCACGCCGATTAAGCCACTATTAGTATTTTGACGACAGCAGACTCGCTAATTGTCAGTACTTCTGACAGGTATGGGTAAAAAAAAATGAAGTGAAAACAAATTAAGCATTGCTCACAAAATACTTATAATGTAAGGTTCTCCTCCAAAATAAGTATTTTTATAATGTTGTACTGACAATATACCATATATTATAAAACTGGTATCTGTATTCAGTAATAGAAAGAAACCTCAAAGACGAAACAGGGTGATGGCAACCTGAACATAATAAAATTAATTAAATTCCTTAACGATACTCTTAGTAGATTTTAAACATAGAGAAAAGAGAAAAATAGTCTGGGGAAGCATCCTAAAGACCCAATAGGGTGTCAATAATAAACATAATATATTCTAATATTTAACGTATTTCTAAAACAATGATCGTTCATATCTATATTTTATCTACCCACAGTATCACATTGTGGGTTCAATTCCTCCCTCCTTCCCAAGGATATTTGTTTCTTAACAGTCTAAAGAAATAAATCTTGACATTCTTTATAGTCAGTACTAGTATTACCCAAAATCGGGCTTGGTCCTAGAACTTTGCAAGACTAAGACCGCCATTGGTATTAAAAACACCTTCTTTTTTAAAAATAAAATTAAGGCAAAGTAGTTACTAATACTTCACAATTTTAGTTAATATATGTTAAGGATTGGTATAACCAATATACGTTTGCATTTAACTCTTCTAATTTTTAGTTGGAGCTTAGTTAGGTTTCTCCTATCTAAGAAATTACAGTAAAATCTCTATAGTAATAATAATTGTAAGACTGTTGCCAGAAGGCCAGGTTCTCCACCAGTATCAGTACCATTACCAGTACTAGCAATTTAGTATTTCACATAAATTTGGATATTTTAATAAGAACATATCTATATTTTGCTTTTTCTTCTTAGATTATTGTCAGTTTTCGCACAAAGATGTATACTAGTAGTTAATATCTGGCTGAGATGTTGATTTTATAATTGAACAATAAACCATTACTCAATGCGTTTTGAAAGTATGAATCAGTCGAACGGTTACATAATATTGGAGAGCGTTACCACCTTATTTAAAAGCCGGAACCGGTAACAGAAATAACTGTTCCGCTTTGGACCGCTTAAGGCTCATGCTCACAAAACACGATCAGTTGTTGCGATCTGCGATATTTTTGAATCACACTAGAAGAAATCATATAATGGGGTAGACATCATAAAAATTAGGTCACCGTCCCGCGGCCATACAAAAAATGGCAGATCGTCTCAACAGAACGCCTACAGTATTAAAGATTGTTAAATTTGTTTATCAGTCCAGCTGAATAGCTTAATTCTATTTTAGCCTTATTTTCTCCGAATATTACAGACTACATCGCAGGTATTTAATGGGAGGATTTCTGTTTGAACAAAAAAAAGTTCTTAATTGTAGATTGATGGTTGACAGTAGTGAATATTTGATGATTATTGGTTGGGGTGATCAGTCAAATAAAAAATGGTAAAAATAAATAATAATATTTTTTTATTTTTTACATTTGCGTAGGAAAGCGGGACCAGTACCTAAAAATTTCTGTGAAACTTTTTACGAAAAAAGTTTTTGGAATATAAGTTCTAAGGAATGTTTTCGCAATACAGTTCCATGTTTTGGTAAAATTTTAATTTGTATTTATTAAGGTTCTTGCAAAAAGTTCAGTTAAATGAAAAATAACTTGGCTTAAATTACAGTTTTATATTTATTTTTTCATAAAATGTATCTGTTAAGTAATGAATTGTTTAATGTGGTAAATTAGTGATATTGTGTATGACCAGTGTTATGAAAAGGGAGAAAAAATTAATAATAATATATTTATAAAATAATGTAATAATATAATGTAAGAGCTATGTAAATGTGGATTGATCGGTATGCTCTGTATAAAGCAACGCTATGTAGTAGGGCATCATTACTTTCAATAAAGTATTTCTCTCTCTCTGTCTTAAATGAATTACACATGAACCTGATGTGTCGTTTGTTTGAGACACTATGAATAAAAGTAATTTCGTAGGCAGACTTTTTAGCCGAAATCAACCGAATTATAAATAAACGTTTTTTTAAATAAAAGTTCGGTAAAACCTTTAGTCGAAAAATTGCCACGGAAAAAGTTCTAGTTCCAAAAGAACTAAAAAATTATTGACAGTAAAAATTCCGGTTACACCGAAATATTTTTTTAAATCATTTTTTTTTTCCATTTCAAGCTGTGATATAAAATGGTTTTGTAATGGTAATGATTAAAATCTATGATATTATTCATTCATATTGTTTTATTTGATAATGTAAAAAGATATAGAGAAGCCTACTTATGGTTAAAGTTGATTTTTTCTACAACTATAAAATGTTTGGAAATTTGTGATTTTTTTTTTGTTTTTATTCATTGATATTTACAACTGTATTATAAAAAAGTACAACTATTAAATGTGCACTCAGGAATATAATAACATGAAATCTCTTCTTGAGAAACTACCCACTGATAGCACTCAAATTGATTAATCTAAAAAGAAAGGAGATGGTCCGGTGTAGCGGTCATAAATAGGCTAAATAGTGATAAAACTATTTTATTAGAAGCCGACGTATCGTCCCGACTTTGCAGGTCTTCTTCAGGGCTGGAACGGACAAGATAACAAAAAATAGAGAATTGTAGCAGTTTTATGATATTTTTTTTTCTTGTCCGTTCCAGCAATGAAGAAGACCTCCAAACTCGAGTCGAAACATAAAAATAGTTTTACCACTATTTAGCTTATTTATGACCGCCACCTCGGGCCATCTCCTTCCTTTATAATGCAACGGTCAACTATTATATTCTCTATATTCAAGATTAATTTAAAAGTGTTAATCTTAATTTATTTATGGGGTTTAATCAGTTTAACAATAATAACAAAATTAAATTATGTAGTAATATACTCTGTAATATTTTTTATTTCAGGGTATAATAAATCATTTTATTCTAAAATTAATTTTTGTTATACCTACTATGACATACTTAAATTTCAATTGTAGATATTTTTCTCCATAGCTTATGTGAGGAAAATAACAAAAAACTATTTTCTAATTTGGTTCGTATTCACAATCGAACTGACGGACTTTACTTTATTTTGTATGTTATTTTCTTTCTTATAATGGTATGAACTTCACTCAAATGAATGACTTTTGCAGATTGCTGACAGTACTCAACTTCATGGACAACAACCCACTGTTCGTGTTCGGACGAGCAGCACTCCTGGGAGCAGCGAGCAGGGGCAACTCCGCGGCCTGCCTCAACGCCTACCCCACCTGTCCGAAGGATCCAGACCGTCTTGTCCACTATCTCAACAACCACAACGGCGGCTTCTTCAGGTTCTTCAGCGGACTCCCTTCTCAGGGTCGGGACCAGTCCGTTCCTCCTGCCGACGAAGAGGCCAGGATACAGAACAAGCCCGGCCGAGCACTCTCCTTCCCTTCGGCAGTCCGGCCGATCGAACCCCAGGACTACCTGCCGCCCTCAGCGCACTCCTCCGGCGATCGCTTTGTTTTTCCGGACAGTTCGACCAGGGGGGGCAAGCAGCTGCACTTTCCCGAAGAAGGTGACTCCTATCTTGGAAGGCCCTCCTATAATCCGGGATCAGCCTATAAACCGGACTACTCCCCTCCTCAGAATTTGATCAACTTCAGGGATCAGAGGTCGGTGAAGTTTCCCGCTCCAATGAACTTTCCGAAGCTTTAACAAAAAGCTAAAAGGATAGCTCCAGTAAAGATCTCTGGGGATTTTATCGGTGCGTAAAAAGTAAAGAAAAGAGATCAAATTGAGTTAAATCTTGTATATATCTTAAAAACATAGCGGTGTATCGATGACAAGAATCTATTTATCGAACTTAATAAATTTAATCTGTAGTTGATTATAACCGATACATTATGTAAATAAAAATCGCGTATTGAGTATAAGATACGCGTTAAAATGCATAATAAAAGCTAAAAAAGATAATTTAAAGTTAGTAACCAAGAATAGAACTCAACATTTTGTTTTGTAATTATTATTATTACTTTTTAATATAAATCAAATTAAGACTAAAACTTTTAAAAAATCACGATAGCTCCACCGCACATTCAATAAATAATAAATCTGTTTAACAAGAAATTTATTTCGGCCTATTAACCATTTCTAAACATATATAAATTACATATTTATTAATGTATATATTTAAAGAAATAGGTTAGAAAAATGAATAACTGGCAATGAAAGGTAGGCAAAGGAAAATAATTATATCGCCATCGAGTTATATATTATTGAGTACTTTCAAAGTTAAATATGGAAGAGAAAAAAATGTTCGAAAATGGCAAATAAATGTCGAAAAATACGAAATTTAGTAAAACGCTTAAATATAATTGTTTTTTCTTGGTAGAAAGATTTTTTATTATTAGAATATGTTGTGGGTGAAGTCTGGTTTCGTTGAAACCTTCGTCTAAACTTAAATTAATACTAAAAAATAAAAAACGGTTCAACTAAAAATAAACGAAGGAAATAAAGGCATTTATAATGATAATATATCGGTAGATTTTTATATATCAGAAATGAATAAATCACTATATATTCAACCATCAATCGGATTTTTGATCAATGAATAAAATAAAACGATTATATTCCTTAAAGAAATTGGTGCTTTATAGACTCAAAATAAAAACAAAAGTATGTAAAATATTGGTAGCTAAAATAAATGAAACTTTAATTAATAAGAAAGTATGTGTCCATTTATGGAAAATTAAAATCAGACGAATAACCCAAGAAAATCAATTGCAAAAGCACTAAAAATAAAACTTAAAAATTAACTTAATTTATAAATAATATAATAATAGGTTACGTATATCTAAACATATGTTACATGAGCCCATGATAACCAATATATGCAAGAGTCCAGCAAACACTCAAAATTTATATTTTATTTTAATTAATTCATCTTCTTTTCGAGTCACATTATAATTTTTGAGTTGTTATTCCTGTAACTTGAAACTAAATGGAGCAATGTCGACATTTTTGAAATTCCAATGAGCTGCACGAAAGAAATTGAGTGTACATTAACTATTTTATAAACTAGTTTTCCCATTATTAGTTAGACTCAATAGCTAATTAATATTGTGAATTTTTTTTTTAAACAATTGATTTAAATTTCCATCTTTTGGAAAGAGACCTTTTTTTCCCAGGTACAAATTTACGAAGTGAGAATATGAAAATTAATTTTCCATGATTTGGATTTATCTGTTTGTTTATCACTTATTTTTATAAATATTTGTTCCTTAATTTAATAATTTATTTGTTAATAAAATGTTTATTTATTAAAGGTCTTATTCATTCAAATTATAATAGGCCGTGACCATGATAGTACCTCAGTACCCTTGCCCGAATAAAAAACGGGACAGAATAGAATATGATGGAAATTTTTGGTTTTTATTTCGTGATGAACCATTAAAAGACAATCAACCTACACAATCTCGTAAATATAAACACAGTAGAGAGAAAACAAAATGGGTAAGTTCCTAAACTCAGCGCTAAGCTCATCGATGGCATCGCATCCGTCTCTAAACAGGTCAAAACGATACCATCAATAAGCAAAATATAAATATAATATTATAAAAGTGAAATGACTTCTTTGTAGAATTTCAGACACAATATTGTAACCAGCAGATATGTAACTAGAAAAACACTTTTCTCTCACATATTTAGTAGAAATTATTTTTTTTTTATTCAAAAAGACTTATTATATATATATATATATATATATATATATATATATATATATATATATATCATCTCATATACCTTATCAAGATTTATCCTGTAAATCTTCTGGAGTAATATACTAATATCCAAACCATTTATATTTTATATAGAATAAAATAGTCAACAAAAAGAATACAATAAAATAAAAAAGAGTAATCTAGTAAATTAGTACATGCACCATGTATTAAGTATAATTTATATATCAATATAAGGACATTTTACAACAGTTATAAAAATTTAAAAAAAGTATTTACAAATTACAACATTGTGATGGTTATAAAACAATTTGGTAAGAGATTAGTAACAAAACAATAGGAAATTCGTCAGTCTTTGAGATAGTCCAGGTCTCTACTTCGTAAGTAAGAACTCGTCTGATCAATTTATATATATATATATATATATATGTATATATATATATATATATATATATATATATATATATATATATATATATATATATATATAAAATTATAATAGAAATTTTCTTTCAGACGTATGAGAGCTCAATCTACTTAAAAAAAAAAAAACGAAATTTTATTAAGAGAATTTTACAGATAATAGCAAACCAACAAATTTTTTTACACTATGATTTATTCTAGAAAAATGTCTTTACTAACAAATGAAAACTTATTACTTACGATGGTAAAGAAATAGTTGAATGTAGATAATATCATTAGGAACTTATAACTAGGAGTGACAGTCACTATGAGAATCACAAATAAAAATGTATTAATTCTTATTTGGATATTTGTACTCTCAAATAACTTTACAGGTAACAAATAATTAAATTTGTTAATAAGTAACAGTGAGGGAAATAACACAACGAATTCCATACCCCCAGAATAGTTTCACAAACCATATACGACTCTCATACTAAACAAAATAGCGAAATACCGCAAATGTATACACCTAACACGACAAAGAGAAGCTCCGGTTCAAATCTAGTGGAAATTGTAAATGACCCCACGAGGCACTATAATCTCCACCTCCTCATCTGCTACCCCTTTGTCACACCATATTTCACCGCCTTGTTTGTTTTGGAAATCTCAGCCGGAGGTTGGTAAATATTTCTGTGGGGCTTTTGGAAATAAGTGGTTGTTAGCGAGTATTTCTGGGTCTATGGGTGACTGTTAAAAAGAGCTCTCTGACAGCGGCCTTAGGCCATAACTCACCCAGCTATTTTTCATGAGGCCACTAATCCGGATTCCGTGGGCTTGTCACTGGAACAGAAACAAACATCTCGAAATAAGGATCTATAAAGGAAACTGGAGTATCACTGCCAGATCGGGAGCGATTTATTATTATTTATTTAGAACACTTAGTGAAGAATAGACCCGTCATAAATATTGAAAAATGGAAAGCTCATAGCATCTAATCTACTTGTTTAGTAAACAAATCTTCTGGAGAAATCTAGCGTTGCCTCCTAACCATTTATAGTGTATATATATATACACACACACACACATATATATATATATATATATATATATATATATATATATATATATATATATATATAGACACTCATATATATATGAGATAGTCAACAATAACTAGATAATAACAATAACTAGATTATTTAACTTTTGTAAAAACTATCCATTATAAAAAAAGAGGAATTGATAATAAGTAAATATAAATTATTTATGGAATCGTTGATTGGTATAATCTTGGGCATGATTGTATGGGTCAGAAGATGGTTAAGGATTAAAATTTGGAAGGTCTTTTGGAAATGTATTTATTTTTTGATAACGGTAATTAGTTTGAAAGAAACTATATTAAATGATGTATAAGTTATCCTCGATTGAATATTAAATAAAAAAAATTATGAAGAACAACAATCTAGTATGTAATAGAAACAATCTCAGAGAATAACGATCAATATTTTTATTTATATTAAAAAAAAAATAGATGGATTGGATTTTACAGTAAATTAAATGTTAACTTGTGAGATATGATTTGACGACAGAAGAATGACCAAGGACCCTCACGTCAAAATGAAAGTACTGTCCACAAGTGATTGAAAATACTCTACCCACTTTTCCAAATGAAAATTGAAAATTAGACAAAAAATAGTTACATAATCTTACCTACTCAAATCCATGTGGAAACACTCCTTACAAATTTACCGTTCTTACAAAAATTGCAGCAATTTCAATCCAAAATTTTGAGACTAATAACAGCAGCTCTCTTGAACGTAAATATAAAACTTTTACGTAAACAAACGACAACCCATAAGTCGGCAAACATATACATACTCCCTACTCCTGATTTCATATTAAACCAAACGGACACAATAACAGACTTATAAACGACATGACCACAGCTGACATGTCCACCAGGAGCCGAATGAAAATGAGTTAGATGAGAGATCTCCTTTCCTTAATCAAGGAAGTAAACAATGATCAGGAAATAGTACTGCTGAGTGCTATCCTTCCTTATGCCTCTAATGCCAATCATTCAATTTAACACGAAAAATCTACTGATTGTAACTATCACAAGGTGCCGGTAAATATTTGAGGAGAAAAAAAAACATGTCAGTCGATCCATTTTAAGCTTAAAAAAAATTAATAGCAGGCAAACTCCTCTTATAAGTGTATAGACCAATATAAATTATATAATATAAATAAAAATGCGAAACTGAAGTAAATTTAGTACAATTAAAAGTGTAACTGAATAAAAATCGAAATAAATAAAACTAAATAAAAAATCAATATAATAATAAAAAAAAAAAATAAAAAACGCATGATTTAAAATGATCCATGATTTTAAAAGATTCCTAACCAGCCACGTGGAGTATGCTGCTTTTTGATTAACAGATAAATTAAACTCAATGCCTGGATCGACTCAATACTTTCCATCAATTGACGAAGGCATTTAATAAGCAAAAGTGAAATGACTAGTAACGCCGTCATTTTAATTGGAGGTCTTAACAATGGCTTATAGCAAGG